GCTCCCGTTGTTCGGTCCCAGCGCCTGCCAACCTAGCAGTTCGAAAGCACCCTCGGGTGCAAGTAGATAAATAGGGACCGCTTACTGGCGGGAAGGTAAACGGCGTTTCCGTGTGCGGCTCTGGCTCGCCAGAGCAGCGATGTCACGCTGGCCATGTGACCCGGAAGTGTCTCCGGACAGCGCTGGCCCCCGGCCTATTGAATGAGATGGGCCGCACAACCCTAGAGTCTGTCAAGACTGGCCCGTACGGGCAGGGGTACCTTTACCTTTAATTGGATCCTGCATTGAACTCCCATAAGCAGGGACACTGCTTAGGGGCATATGTTGGGGGCCTCTGTCATCATGAAGTCCTGCATTTCAGATGTTACTGCTGCAGACCCTCCAAGTGTCCCTATTTTCCAGGGACATCCATGATTTAGAGAAGCAGTCCCAATTTCTGGTTTGGTCCCGGAATGTCCCACTTTTCCTTGTTGTTGTTGTTGTTGTTTAGTCGTTTAGTCGTGTCCGACTCTTCGTGACCCCATGGACCAGAGCACGCCAGGCACTCCTGTCCTCCACTACCTCCCGCAGTTTGGTCAAGCTCATGTTGGTAACCTCGAGAAACACTATCCAACCATCTCGTCCTCTGTCGCCCCTTCTCCTTGTGCCCTCCATCTTTCCCAGCATCAGGGTCTTTTCCAGGGAGTCTTCTCTTCTCATGAGGTGGCCAAAGTACTGGAGCCTCAGCTTCACGATCTGTCCTTCCAGTGAGCACTCAGGTCTGATTTCCTTAAGAATGGATGCATTTGATCTTCTTGCCGTCCATGGGACTCTCAAGAGTCTTCTCCAGCACCATAATTCAAAAGCATCAATTCTTCGGCGATCAGCCTTCTTTATGGTCCAGCTCTCACATCCATACATCACTACTGGGAAGACCATGGCTTTAACTATACGGACCTTTGTTGGCAAGGTGACATCTCTACTTCTCAAGATGCTGTCTAGGCCTGTCATTGCCCTTCTCCCAAGAAGCAGGCGTCTTTTAATTTCGTGGCTGCTGTCACCATCTGCAGTGATCATGGCGCCCAAGAAAGTAAAATCTCTCACTGCCTCCATTTCTTCCCCTTCTGTTTGCCAGGAGGTGATGGGACCAGTGGCCATGATCTTCGTTTTTTTGATGTTGAGCTTCAGACCATATTTTGTGCTCTCCTCTTTCACCCTCATTAAAAGGTTCTTTAATTCCTCCTCACTTTCTGCCATCAAGGTTGTGTCATCTGCATATCTGAGGTTGTTGATATTTCTTCCGGCAATCTTAATTCCAGCTTGGGATTCATCCAGCCCAGCCTTTCGCATGATGTATTCTGCATATAAATTAAATAAGCAGGGAGACAAAATACAGCCTTGTCATACTCCTTTCCCAATTTTGAACCAATAAGTTGTTCCATATCCAGTTCTAACTGTAGCTTCTTGTCCCACATAGAGATTTCTCAGGAGACAGATGAGGTGATCAGGCACTCCCATTTCTTTAAGAACTTGCCATAGTTTGCTGTGGTCGACACAGTCAAAGGCTTTTGCATAGTCAATGAAGCAGAAGTAGATGTCTTTCTGGAACTCTCTAGCTTTCTCCATAATCCAGCGCATGTTTGCAATTTGGTCTCTGGTTCCTCTGCCTCTTCTAAATCCAGCTTGCACTTCTGGGAGTTCTCGATCCACATACTGCTTGAGCCTTCCTTGTAGAATTTTAAGCATAACCTTGCTAGCGTGTGAAATGAGTGCAATTGTGCGGTAGTTGGAGCATTCTTTGGCACTGCCCTTCTTTGGGATTGGGATGTAGACTGATCTTCTCCAATCTTCTGGCCACTGCTGAGTTTTCCAAATTTGCTGGCATATTGAGTGTAGCACCTTAACAGCATCATCTTTTAAAATTTTAAATAGTTCAGCTGGAATACTATCACTTCCACTGGCCTTGTTATTTGCAGTGCTTTCTAAGGCCCATTTGACTTCACTTTCCAGGATGTCTGGCTCAAGGTCAGCAACCACACTACCTAGGGTGTACGAGGCATCCATTTCTTTCTGGTATAGTTCCTCTGTGTATTCTTGCCACCTCTTCTTGATGTCTTCTGCTTCTGTTAGGTCCGTTCCACTTTTGTCTTTTATTATGGTAATCTTTGTACGAAATGTTCCTTTCATATCTCCAATTTTCTTGAACAGATCTCTGGTTCTTCCCATTCTGTTGTTTTCCTCTATTTGTTTGCATTGCTCGTTTAAGAAGGCCTTCTTGTCTCTCCTTGCTGTTCTTTGGAAATCTGCATTCAATTTCCTGTATCTTTCACAATCTCCCTCGCATTTTGCTTGCCTTCTCTCCTCTGCTATTTGTAAGGCCTCGTTGGACAGCCACTTTGCTTTCTTGCATTTCCTTTTCATTGGGATGGTTTTCGTTGCTGCCTCCTGTACAATGTTACGAGCCTCCATCCATAGTTCTTCAGGCACTCTGTCCACCAAATCTAAATCCTTAAACCTGTTCGTCACTTCCACTGTGTATTCATAAGGGATTTGACTTAGATTGTATCTTACCGGCCCAGTGGTTTTTCCTACTTTCTTCAGTTTAAGCTTGAATTTTGCTATAAGAAGCTGATGATCCGAGCCACAGTCAGCTCCAGGTCTTGTTTTTGCTGACTGTATAGAGCTTCTCCATCTTTGGCTGCAGAGAATATAATCAATCTGATTTCGATGCTGCCCATCTGGTGATGTCCATGTGTAGAGTCATCTCTTGTGTTGTTGGAAAAGCGTGTTTGTGATGACCAGCTTGTTCTCTTGACAGAACTCTATTAGCCTTTGCCCTGCTTCGTTTTGATCTCCAAGGCCAAACTTGCCAGTTGTTCCTTTTATCTCTTGATTCCCTACTTTAGCATTCCAGTCCCCTATAATGAGAAGAACATCCTTCTTTGGTGTCACTTCTATAAGGTGTTGTAAGTCTTCATAGAATTGGTCAATTTCAGATTCTTCAGCACCAGTAGTTGGTGCATAAACTTGGATTACTGTGATGTTAAAAGGTCTGCCTTGGATTCGTATCGAGATCATTCTATCATTTTTGAGATTGCATCCCAGTACAGCTTTCGCCACTCTTTTGTTGACTATGAGGGCCACTCCATTTCTTTTACGGGTTTCTTGCCCACAGTAGTAGATGTGATGGTCATCCGAACTGAATTCGCCCATTCCCGTCCATTTTAGTTCACTGATGCCCAGGATGTCAATATTTATTCTTGCCATCTCATTTTTGACCACCTCCAACTTACCCAGGTTCATGGTTCTTACATTCCAGGTTCCTATGCAATATTTTTCTTTACAGCATTGGACTTTCCTTTCGCTTCCAGGCATATCCGCAACTGAGCGTCCTTTCGGCTTTGGCCCAGCCGCTTCATCAGCTCTGGATCTACTTGTACTTGTCCTCCGCTCTTCCCCAGTAGCATGTTGGACGCCTTCCGACCTGAGGGGCTCATCTTCCAGCGTCATAACTTTTATATGCCTGTTGTCTTTGTCCATGGAGTTTTCTTGGCAAGGATACTGGAGTGGCTTGCCGGTTCCTCCTCCAGGTGGATCACGTTTGGTCAAAACTCTCCACTATGACCTGTTCATCTTGTGTGCCCTGCTCGGCATAGTTCATAGCTTCTCTGAGTTCTTCAAGCCCCTTCGCCACGGCAAGGCAGTGATCCATGAAGGGGCACTTTTCCTTAGGATGTCCCTATTTTCGCTGGAGAAATGTTGGGTGGTGTGAAGCTATCTGACCCCCCAAGCCGTCTGAAGGCAATCTTGTATAGAGAAGTTTTCTTTAAAAAATGTTTAATGTTTTATTATGTTTTTATATATGTTGGAAGCTTCCCAGAGTGGCTGGGGCAGCCTAGTAAGATGTGTGGGGTAAAAATAATAAAATTATCATTGTGGAATGGGACATCCCTATTTTCATCAGAGAAATGTTGGAGGGTATACTACTGCAGGGTACCCCTGACCGTTAGGTCCAGTCATGGCCAACTCTGGGGTTGCGGCGCTCATCTCACTTTATCGCCCGAAGGAGCTGGCGTACAGCTTCCAGGTCATGTGGCCAGCATGACTAAGCCACTTCTGGCGAACCAGAGCAGCGCACGGAAACACTTTTTACCTTCTCGCCGGAGTGGTACCTATTTATCTACTTGCACTTGACGTGCTTTCGAACTGCTAGGTTGGCAGGAGTAGGGACCGAGCAATGGGAGCTCACCCTGTCACAGGGATTCGAACCGCTGACCTTCTGACCGGCAAGCTCTAGGCTCTGTGGTTTAACCCACAGCGCCACCTGCATCCCCACTGATATGAGCATGCCTGGGTGGACTCTTCCTTTACATACTTCAGGTTTCTCTAGGCTTTTGTCTTCATAAAGGTGTAGGAAGTAGCATGTAGGAGAAATGCTGTTTTAGGAGTTAAGGGTAAACTTCACTATAATTATTTATTTCCATGTTAGAAACACACTACTATGTGTTCAGTTTATTGTTTATTGTATTCCTTCCTCACGTATCTGTTTGTAACTATCCTATCAACTTGCTTCACCCATTTTTGCAAATCAGCATTGTTAACATCAATTTATTTTTATTTCTCCCCTATGTTAACTGGAATTGAAAAAGGTCTAGAGACCTTTTAAAAGCCACCTAGCGTGTCCCTTTCACAAAGGTATGGCAGCTGGTGGGAGGTGTGGGGGTGGCAGATCGAGCCGGCCTGACCGGGTTGGGGGGGTAGCATACATGTGATGTCATGCACGTGTGATGCCCCCTCCCCCACTTTGGGGGCAACTCTGCACGTCTGTAACCAGTAGCACAGGGAGGGGCAGGAACCATTTTCAGCCACTTTCCTTGAGGACCACTTTCCCTTCTGAACAACCTTCTGATACCCATATGCCAGCACTGGGAAGAGTAATTTGTGTTTATTTCAAAAAATAAAAGCATTTTTTCAAAATGGTACTACACACACTCACACCCCCCTCTTTGCATTCCATCCAGGAAAGCAAGAGGCACCATCAGAGTTCAAGAACACATTCTAGCCAAGTGAAAACACGCTGTGGGCTGTTGACGGATGTGGTTGTGGAGAGCCTTGAGGAGCAGCTGGAGATGCCTGGAAGGATGTATTTGGCCTCACCTCTGCAGAGTTGACTTCAGTGGTACAGACTCCCATATTTTGCCCCACCTAACCTCATTTAATGCTTAACCTAAACCCATCTTCTGCTTCTATTTTGAAGATCCTCATCTGTCCAGTTCTAGTGGTCTAGTTGGCTGAGGGTAAATTTTGGTTTCGATGCTCAAAGGGTGAGAAGCATTTTCACCTACATAGCAACCGGTGAGCAGATCAGCTATTAATATAGTTGTGAGACAGTTTTTGTCCTAGAATGTTCTCACCTTGTTTCCAGTTTGTGTCAGGCAGGCAAGAATCATTTGCAAAAAGCGGGCAAGTTTTAATCTGAAATTAGGACCCTGAATTACGTTTGGGCACCGTAAGTCCCATTGAGTAAATGAGTGGGCATGATTAGGATTGCAGCAATATGAAGTGCCAGCTAGTTAAAAGTGTCAGAGATAGGGTGAAAAAGCTGGCCAGTGGGACCCAGGTTGAGGTGAGGAAGCGCTGCAGCTCAATGGCAAAGCATCTGCTCTGCATGCAGAAAGTCTTAGGCTTTGTCTGAAATGCTGGACAGCCTCTGTCAGTCAGTATGTACCACGATGAAAACCAATGATCTGGTGCAGAGCTAAGGCATGTTACTAAAGAGGTAAGGGAAGTCCAAAACAGTCTCTTTCTCTAAATGCCCAAAGCATGGCAACAGACAAGGTTCCCAGTAAAGTATCCTGGTTGATGGATTTGCCTTCCAGCTGCTGGCATGAGTATAATTGTCTGAGATCCACGATTAATGAAGACTGCTGGTACATATTGATTTAAGCCCTTTCAATCCCTCCACCCCTGAGCTGCTTCTGCCATCGGCTCTGACTTTTTCAACCCCAAATTCTCGAAACAAAGGTGCCCAGGAAAGCACAAGTGAGAGCTATTATGCCAACACAGTGTCAACTGTAATTCCAGAAGCTTTTCTATTTAGAGGCATTTGGAAATGGAGACTTAAAAAACAGCAAAATGCTGTACGTTTTTTCTTTAAAAAAAAAAATATTCAGGCAAGGTAAACACACCTTCTACTTTTGACAGTATTACACCTCTTTATAATTTGGTAGATACCTTTGGTGTTGCTTTAGAAATCCCTCAAAAGGGGGCAGATGCAATATTTACGCCCGGGGCAGTCAACGTGCACTCTCCAGATGAGGCTGGAGAACAGTTCCCATCTTCTGTGACCATGGGTCATGATGGCTGGAGCTGAGTTGGAGGATAGCCATGTTGGCTTTCCCTGGTTTATACAGAACAGCTTCCTAAAGTGCATCCCAGTAATTTTCTGAAGTTCTTATCCCTACATCACTAGACTGTTTGAAACCAGCATATGATTTTATCATACTTCCCTTCTCCTGCCCTTTGAGTAAGATAAACTCAGCAGTAAAGCAACCTGATTGCCACACCCAAACTCCTAACGTAAATAAATGGATGTCATGGCCTGCCATTCTGGAACATGGAATGTGACAGTCAGAAGCAGCTGAAGAAGAGAGAGGCCTGGGGAAGACAATGTGTGGTGCCCTCAAAATACTGGGTGGCTGGTGGTCAGGGCTTATGGAAATTGTAGTCCAGCAACTGTCTGGAGGGCAACATGCTGGCTTTACAGGTAATAACAAAAAATAACAGAGTCCTATAGCCGATGAAGATATATACTGGTGCATTGCTGCATGCATGTCCAAATGGATGGGAAAGGAGAACCAAAATGGTACCCCAAAATTCTCCACCTTCACAGCAGGGGGTTTCGGGGGGGGTAACATTTCACAAAATACATTTGTGGTTGAGGTGGCAGCATACTCTGACAATTCGAAAATGAAAATTTATTGGGTAATTGTCTTCAGCGAAATTTTGACACATTTAATACTGAATGAAACCATATTGTTAATTCTCGCTAATACATGAAAGGGCAGAGGTCTGAAAGGAGTTAGGGGTGAAGCCCAGCACTCCCTTCAACAGTATTGATACACAGTATTAACAGTACAGTGGTACCTTGGGTTACATACGCTTCAGGTTACATACGCTTCAGGTTACAGACTCCGCTAACCCAGAAATAGTACCTTGGGTTAAGAACTTTGCTTCAGGATGAGAACAGAAATCGCGTGGCAGCAGCGGGAGGCCCCATTAGCTAAAGTGGTGCTTCAGGTTAAGAACAGTTTCAGGTTAAGAACGGACCTCCGGAACAAATTAAGTACTTAACCCGAGGTACCACTGTACTGATAAAAGGGGTTTTGGCGCTCATCTTGCTCTATAGGCCGAGGGAGCTGGCGTTTGTCCGCAGACAGCTTCCGGGTCATGTGGCCAGCATTACAAAGCTGCTTTGGGAGAACCAGAGCAGTGCACAGAAACGCTGTTTACCTTCCCGCCAGAGTGGTACCTATTTATCTACTTGCACTTGACGTGCTTTTGAACTGCTAGGTTGGCAGGAGCAGGGACCAAGCACAGGAGCTCACCCCGTCACGGGGATTCGAATTGCCAACCTTCAACCCTCTAACCTTCTTAAAACTGAGCCCTCAGCTGTGCATGAAACTTTCCACCTCATTCACAGGTGGGTTAATTGGAGTGTAGAAGGAATGGATTTTGCTGAATATTATTCGGGTAGGATTGAAACTCTCAAATGGATTGGATGGGGGAGCCTGAGGGGAAAAGTCATATGATGACTCCAAAATTTCTTAGACATTTCAGCCTCACTTACATGGCATAGTGCCCATGGGGGATGTATGGTCTTAAGCACATCTTTACCTCCATTGTGCTAACTATGTTTTTGTGTGTATGGCGTCTGATGCTATATGACGCTCCTATTTCAGGATGTGGGTATCCAGCTAGGGTTTTTCCATGCAGGGAAAAACTATTGTATGCACTAATCCTGATCTTGCAAAAGGTTCCAGAAGTGGGATATTGTAAAGATTTGTGGGACCACATTCAAGTGTATCTAGTGTACAAAGCTGGAAACCGAGAACGGTTTTCTGGTTCTATAGCTTGGGCCTATATGGATTTCAGAGTTTGTGGGTTTATCAAACAAGTGTAAATTCTAGTTTATTACTGTGGTTGCCTGTCAGTCCCACATGCCTCACCCAGCCATCATATAAATAAGTGTCTGGGATTTCATGGTTTGTCTACAAACATTTAAACTGCAAAGTTATGTATTTGCTCAAATGCACCAGGAAAGTCTCTAACTGCGTGCTTCAAATCTGCAAGAGAATTCCCTTTTTTATTGTTTTATATGGCTTATCATAATTATAGAAAAAATACTGAGTACTTCCAGCCAATGTCAGTGGAAGGTTTAGAATGTGAAATATAAGAGATGGCCAGTATTCTAAGGGTCAGTGAGTCAAGTTATAATAATCAGATGGACTGCAACTCCTGTTTCCCACTGACTGACCATATAATATTGTACTGACCAAGTATGGGGACCATCCGTTCCTCCAGATTCTGCTGTACTGCAAGTCAGCCCTAATAAGCGTGGCTGATGGCCAGGAATGATGGGAACTGTAGTTCAATAGAAGGTTCCCCATGCCTGGTATATACTTTTCTCAACTTCTTCTCTCAGTCACTTCTATTACCTGCTGTACAATTTCAATTTTTAAAATAACCCATTTGTGCAAAAGTAGTAAAGGTGCACACTTTTAACCTGATAATGTATTGTAGATGATGGTGATAATGCATTTGGTGATATAACTTATGCAAAAAAGAGACAGAGAATATATTTCTATCTATATCCATATCTATACATGCAGAGGACATATGCCCCTGTTGGTAGGCATGATCCATTGCAGTCTATATATAAAAGCTGTTGGAAAACTAAAGATGACCCAGACTAAAATGTGACACATTTTGCTGGGCTGCATCAACAGTCACAATCTACGTCTCCTGGGAAGAGTGCCTTTTATTGGAAGAGAGAACACACCTGCATGTATTTGCTGCATTGTGGACACTGAGGACTCAGCCATTTTTATATTTAGGTTGTTCTGCAATGTTCCCTTGGGCTTCCAACAAGAAATCAGGAACATTTGTTTCTAATGAAGCAATCCCATACATCAAATTTGCTGGGGGGGGGGGGGAGGAGAGAGAGATGCCACTGCTTTGCCGGCAGAAAAGCCACCAGATCATGTACCTGCTCAGCCCACAAGAGAAGGTGGAAGCAGAACATACAGCCAGAAAATCCTATTACATGCACCCCAGCCTTGGAGCAGTGAGAGTTTTCAGGGGTCCCTGGATCACTAGAGTGTCTACTGTGATGCAAGGTTTATATACAGGTTTGTTTGTTTGTGTATTTATTTCATGTGCAGGCTGAACATGAGATGGGAGCACTCACTCCAAACAGATCCTGCTCCACCATTCGTTTTCAGCAAGCACCAAAGCCACAGTTTGGGATTCTACACTTTAAGCAAGCCTATGGGTCTATTTCCAATTCTAATCTGAAGATCGGTTTATCTCTTTTCTTCCCTTTCACGCACTTCTGTTGAAAGATTCAGGACAGTCAAAGTAAAATACTTCACACGGTGCCTAGTTAAACTGGAATTCGCTCCCACAAGTAGTGATAGCCACCAACTCAGATGGCTTTAAAAAGAGGATTGGACAAATTCACGGAGAAAGAGGCTACAAACAGCTGCACGCCACAGTGGCTGTGTTTTACATTCAGCATGCTTGTGAATGCCAGTTTCTGGAAATCACAGATGGGGGAAATGTTGCTGTGCTCAGGTCCTGCTTGTGGGGTTTCCATGTGCATCTGCTTGGCCACTGCGAGAACAGGCTGCTGGATGAGATGGGTCACTATCCTGATCCAGCAGGCTCTTCCTACATTTGGAAAGGTAATGGCTGTACAGTGGTACCTCGGAATGCGAACGGGATCCGTTCTGGAGCCCCATTCACATCCCGAACAGAACGTAAGATGTGACAGCACGTCTGCGCATGTGCAGGTCATGTTTCACCGCTTCTGCGCATGTACATGACGTCATTTTGACCGTCTGCGCATGCGCGAGCAGCGAAACCCAGAAGTAATGCGCTCCATTACTTCTGGGTCGCCGCAGAGCGCAACCCAAAAGCGCTCAACTTGAAGTGTATTTATCCTGAGATATCACTGTACTAACACCACAGGATTGAACAGGATTTGAAATAAACACACACCATTTAGTGTAACCCCAATATCATTTACAGATAGGTAGCCGTGTTGGTCTGCCATAGTCAAAACAAAACAAAATCCTTCTAGTAGCACCTTAAAGACCAACTAAGTTAGTTCTTGGTATGAGCTTTCGTGTGCATGCACATGAAAGCTCATACCAAGAACTAACTTAGTTGGTCTTTAAGGTGCTACTAGAAGGAATCCCAATATCATTATAATACAAAATGGCAAAAGAAAAGCATATGCACTTGTAGCATGCCAGTTTTGTCCCTGCTGAGAACTAAACTGCACACCATCTTCATGGATGACTCCAAGCTATAGACACTTATCTTGGCTTATATTTCTTGTCATCACTTGAGTGTGATGGAATATTTGGCTTTTAGAAGTGTGACAAACACAGAATGTTAGGAACTGGCTGTTTAAATAAAGACATGAACGTTCGTTTGTTCATTCATTCATGTTTATATTCCACCCTTTTTTCCAACGGGAACACAGGATGGTTTCAATGGGAGCACATAGTAGGATCGGCCTGTATGTACTCCCCCCTTCCCCTCTGCTTGAGCACCTGAGATTTGGTTGTATACTTCAGCAACTGTGGCAAAAGGGTAGACAGCTGCATTACTGGAGCAAGTGAAGCCAAGCCTGTTCATCTGCTCTCAGGAATAGAGTTATGAAGGTCTAGGAGCTCTTGGCAGGTTCTGCAATGACCACTACTGCTGGCAGCTCTGCCCTAGAGTTTTCCAAGCACTGATCCTTGGCCTATTGAGAGTTTGAACCAGTTTGGGCAGGTGCCCATTGTTCAGCTGAATGCTGGCAGATGAGAAGAGGACACAGGTCTCTTTTCACCTGGGTTGCACAGCAGCAGGCAGAGAGTAAGTTGCACAGTTAAGGGCAAAGGACCATCTGGTAGCAGCAGATAAGCATGGTCACTTGGCAGGATGGAAATGACACCTGCAATCCATTGGAAATGGCGCGGGGAGAAATGAAGCCACAGATGAGCATGGAAATGAGTGTCGATGACACAGGCACTGTCAGTATTCTAAATTGAGCATTTAGGAGTAAAGAGCTTGTAACTAAAATGAAACAAACCAATGTGAGTCTCTTTCTTTTGCAAAACAGGGAGCATTATATGCTCTGGGTTAGAATAGTTGATGCAACCCTTGGAAGCAGCAGACAAGCCTTTGAGATGCAAGGTCAGAAGCGTTATCCCTATGGAGAATCACACCTCTGCTTTCCCTTGGCTCTCACTCTAAGCTTGCCATGGAATGGGAACTCCAACCCAGATATTGTGATAGCAGCATGCAAGTCTTCAGTTGATTATATGTTTCAGGATGAAAGTAGATGGAAACACCATCCACCCAAACATACCTTGTGAGATGGCTTATGCTCTGGGGATGGCAAAGGGGAGAAATGGTTCTGCCATTTTGAAGCAAAAGGGGCCTATGGTTCATGCTAATTGGCTGTCTTGCACCCATGATGTCACCAGGATGCCATATCTTTTCAGGCCCTGGAGCCATTTTATATTCACAACAACCCTGTGAAGCAGGTTAGACTGAGAAATAGGATGCCCACTTATGCGTCACCAGAAAAAGAGGGCATAGATTTGCATATGTATAACTTCCAATTACTATAGAAACAGAAATACAATGCAACTTACCAAAGTGGAGCCTGCTCAGTGTGCTGTCTGGATGCAGATAGTCAAAGACAACTTCAGGATCCCTGCTGTCCCTTCTTTAAACTGGACTTGAACAACCCTTCAAATAGCACTACACTTTGTCTTCCAACTGAGAGATAGAGTGACTAACCCAAAATCATCCAGGGAGCTTCATTGGGGATTTGAACCTGCTATTTCCTACTGATTTTCTAATCCGGGGTGGGAACACTTTTTCTGCCTGAGGGCCAAATTCCCTCATGAGTAACCTTCCAGGGGCTGCCTACCAGTGCTGGGAAGGAGCAAAGACAAAAGTGAGTGGAACAATTGATGCAGCTCTTACTTTTCTACATTCCACCAGTGCAATAGCCAGAAGTTTCTGCATGCAAATGTCTCTCTCCATCGTGTATCTAAACAAGCCAGGTGCAGTGTAGTGGGACAACAGGAAAAGGGACAACATTGGCTCACTTACAGGTAGGCCATATCCTGGGAATGGTAGTTTTCCATTACGAACATGCAATTCCCATTATTCTTTTGGGAAACTTATGTCCTTTAGATGTGCTTTGAATGTATGGTGTGGGTGTGATCCTATGTGGCATTTAAAAAGGCACCTTGCCATTTCTTTAAGCATGTCTGCTTGACCATCATTCTTGATGAAACAGGTTCTCTACACCACGCTCCTTCCATGAGCCACTCTTGGCAAACAAACCTGCATCACTTTTTTCCAAACTCTCATGGTGACAGCAGAGTGTCACCCACTTACTGTATGTGTTGCTCACTTCTAAGTTATTTAAACAAGGCAGAGCTGCATCTAGTGGCTTACTCACTGCGATGCCATGAGAACGTGAGCCAGGGAAGAGACATGTGCTGGCAGGAAAGTGCTGGTGGTGAGTAAGGCTTGGTTTAAATGTGTCTGCAGTTCTGATATTTTTAGAGCAAGTGAGTACCACTTAAACCATGATACACTCTATTTTTGAAACCCGTTTTTTCTCCCTTTATGACAAATCCCGAAAGTAACACTTAGCAGCCAGTCCTTGAGCAATTGTGCACATGGCATTCCTCAAGAACCCTTCACACATACTGAAGCGCATATGTGGCATTTAGGGCATTTAGTAATCTTTCCATACAACATCCAATTCCCCTCTTTTTTTGGTCCCCTTTCCACATCTGTTGCTCTTCCGTTGATGTGATTGTGCTTTCCACAGACATCTTGTTGACCACTGTGAGAACAGAATGCTGGACTAGATGACATGATCCAGAAGGACTCTTCCTGTGTACTGTTTGTCCCAATTACATTCAAGTGGCAATGAGGAGGAATACGATGGGCAAAAGAGACTTGAAAAGTAGAGAGAATGGCATGTGGGAGGGGGATGGAGGAGAAAGAAAGGTAAAGACGCATTGCAGTTCATCCGATCTGCATTCAAATGGTACCAGCTTCAGTCTCCAGCACCTCCAGGCAGGGGCGTAGCGTGGGTTGCCGGTGCCCAGGGCAGAGCAAGTATTGCAATCCCCTAGTGGACTAGGCAGCACTCAGTCCCTTTGCCAGTCAGCATCTAATCAAGGGAGTCTCTCCTTGCAAACCAGCCACAACCTGGGACCAGAGAAAAGGTAGAGAAGCACGAAGCCAGGAGCACCACTGTGTCGTCTCACCCTCCTGCTCTTGCAGGGTGGTGCTCCGGACAACACATGTGACTCTAGCAGTGCTTTCCTGCTTTCCTCTTCCTCCGTCCCTCTCGGCCAGCCCAAGGGTAGGATGTGCACGGGCGTTCCTTCACCAGACACAAGGAGAAGGAGGCATCTCTGCTGTCCCAGCCCCAAGGCCTAACCCGGGCACAGCTTTCCTCCCCATGGCTCCAGCCTCAATGAGGGAGCCTATCGTGGGGGCAGCTGGTTGCAACCCCTCTCAAATTTGTGCCTGGGGCCATGGGCTCCCCATGCTATGCCACTGCCTCCAGGTAGGGTTGGGGAAAAACCCTCTCTGAAACCTTGGAGACCTGCTGCCAGTCAGTGTAGACAGTACTGAGCTAGATAGATCAATGGTTGAGTATAAGGCAATTCCATATGTTCCTAGTGCACACTACAACTGCTGAAACAATAGCTCAAGGAAACTTCCCTGCCTCAAATCTGCTTGCAAAAATTGCATTGTATTCTCTCAGTCATGTTTGTGTTTTCAGTCTTGCCTTTTAGGGATGCAGTTGGATTTTGAAGTTGCCAGGGGAGGGGAGCTATAAAATAATGGATCTGTTATTCAACTCTGCTCACTTAAATTTTATCAGCAAGTGCCATGCTTTTCAAATGGCCCTTATTTTTGCCAACTTGAACTCTTATGAAATTTTGTTTTGGCTCTAAAGTGGTGTTTTTCAAACTCTCCCCACCCCACCCCACCCCACCCAACACAGCCCAGTGGAAATGGCTGTACAGCCTCTGTTACACCCCCCCCCCAATGAAACAAGATGCTAGTGACAGCATGTCTTATGCTCAATGTTCTCTGATGCAGAGGTTTCACTAAAGTCATGTTCCTTTCTTCAGATGGATGTGGTTTCTCACAACTGCCTCACAGTGGACTGAAGAGGCTGAACATCAGCAGATTAGCTGAAAAGCATAGCGCTCCTACATGTGGGTACATAAAGAAGCCAATGGGAAAGGTGGAGAGAGGAGAAAGATAAAAAGCCACATAAAACGTAAACTGTGGACTACCATAATATGTCCAGGTGGGAGGAGGGAAACAAGCAACTTGACCCTTCTATATCAGCGATTCACCATACAGGGAATGTTGACACACTTCCAGTCCCGGTTTGACAAAACATGTTGTGCTTTCATCTTTGTTCTGGCTGCTTCTCCTGTTACTCTTAACACAATGCCAAGGTCTCTGTGAGCCTTTGTCAAAAGCAGCAAATAGGTGTGCAAAGCTCTAAGCAGGTTCTACATGAGAGACAAAGACACGGCACAGTGTCATCCATTTTCTTCCTTAACGGCTGCTATACTGGGTCCCGAACATATGCCATAAATGCTGGGTGCAATGGTTATGTAGGCCTAACACAGACCAGATTAACAGCTTCTGAAGTTCCTTCACAAGATGGTATTGGGCAAGGATTGGCCAAAGGTAGATTGAGATCTACTGCCAGATCCCCAAGTAAATTGCAACAAATTATGAGGGGTTTCCAATTCCCAACAGCTGGGCAATAGAAACAATTAAAAGTCACTCTTGCTTCTGAAATGCAGGAAATGGTATGGTTGGTTTTTTTTTTAGGTGGGGGACACAGCAGGGGTGGGATTTTCGTGTGAAAATCAGTGGTGGCTAGTGTCTATTGGGACTAACAAGGCAGAAGGCAGGGAGCCCAACAGTAGCTAGAGCCAGAACCAATGACAGGTGGTACCAAGTAATCGTAGTTTTGTTCCCATCCTCCTCCTTGCAGAGGCAGTACTGAGACTAAGTAGAAGGAAGTTGACTGCTGGCGTCATACTCTGGACTGTTTGCTGTAAGCAAGGAGAAAGGCAGGTGGGGATTGGCTGAATGCAGACTGAGGTTGGTGGGGGGAAACTGTCACTATGATTCCCACCCCCCCCCCCCGTGATTGTTTTTATTGTTTTTTATTATTACAGTAGTACCTCCGGTTACGTAATCCTCTGGTTATGTAAGCTTCAGGATGTGAAAGTGGCAAACCCAGAAGTATTTGACCAGGTTTCGCTGTGCGCGCATGCGCAGAAGCGGTCCCCAGGTTGTGGAGACCTTGGGATCCAACCGGACCTCTGGAACGGATCCCATCTGCAACTGGAGGTACCACTGTATGCTGTTTAAATTATGTTTTTAATGTTGTTCACTGCCTTGGGATCTTTGGATAAAGGGTGGTATATAAATTATTATTATTATTATTATTATTATTATTATTATTATTATTATTTCATGGTATTATGATTGTGTGATATCACAATTTCATCCCTTCTTATTCCTTGTGGGGTAGATCGCTTGCCAGCACCCTGTGATCCACTGGCATCCCTCAACCCAATTTTTGGAATTTACAAGGTTTTGAGAAGCCAAGTCCTCCATATTTCACAGCACAACCATTCTCTGTATCTGCCCAGGATTGCCAAAAAGGAGAAGAAACCATTAGCCTGAAACTGTGATTCATATTATCATCCCATCTTGAAATGCCAAGAAGCACTTGGCTGAAAGGTCCTCTAAGGGCAAAGCGACACTAATAAGACAAATTAGAAGCCAGGCAGGTGAAACTGATGGGAGCATTGTGTGTAAATGTGCTTTTTCAAGTTTTAAAACACTAGGGCTAATAACAGAGTATGAGACAATTGGTGGGGATGGAAATGAAATTAAGTTTATTTTGTGTTTAAAGGTGGATCTACCTAATTTGCCTTTCCCAGAACAATATAAAGAACTTAAACAGCTGTCCTTCAGAATTTGTACTTCCCCGAATATTGCAATATAGTTCTCCAGCTGAGTAATGTGCATGAAAAAAAGGTATATTAGGGCAAAGCGTGCATAGAAATGCATATATTGGTGGAAATAATATACAGAAATGCATTATATTGTGCTCTGCAAAACTGTGTAAGTTCAACAGAATCACTTACCAAAAAATGTGCATTGTTGTGACTTTCGGCAGGGTTAGGCTCTATGATGCCTGAGTCCCATCTGATTCCTGGAATCCTGGATCCAGCAAGGGTTAAAATCCATTTGTTGAACAGGAGGCAACTTTCTTGGTGAGTTAATGGCCTAAGTATGCTCTTTAGTATAACAAAGGAAGTGGGTTTGTGCAAGAGGACACATGGGTGGGGCCCCCTCCCTCACCTGGTTGGTGGTAAGAAAGAAATTTGCAGCAGTGTGTGTGTGTGTGTGTGTGCGCGCGCGCGCATGCATGCACATGCACACTAGAAGCAGACAGAAGCCAAAAAGTGAGAGTCATGCTTGATTTCTGTTTTGATTGCAAGGCTGTGACTTCTGGGGTTGTTCATGCTCTAAGCCCCAACATCATAGGCTTACGTTTATATATGTATAAATAAACCATGTATCATAAAGACACCACAGTCTCTGCTCTGTCTCGTTCCAAGAAAGCCAAACTGTGCCTGGAACCCCTGAAATCTCACACTGCTCAGAGATTGGGCTGGCAGTATATTAGGAGATTTTCACATTAAAGTGCTGGTGAATTTTCATGAGAACTTAAAAAAAAAAAATCCTGCAGACTGATACAGAAATGTGGAGTACAGTTGTACCTTGGATCCTGAACACCTTGGAACTCAGACGTTTTGACTCCTGAACGCTGCAAGTGACTGTTCCAGTTTGCGAACATTCTTTTGGAACTTGAACGTCCGACGGGGTTTCCATGGCTTCCATTTGGCTGCAGGAGCTTCTTGTAGAAGCCGCACTTTGGTTCCCGAACATTTTGGATGTCGAACTGACTTCCAGAATGGATTTCTGTCTGAAAGTAGACTCTTTTCCAGGTCCAACTGTCCTCTCTTCCTCCTCCCTCCACTGTCTATTTTCTTACATTTCTTTAAGGGATGTAAATAGCTTGGTCTTAGGACATTATAACCACAAAGAGAATACACAACACCAATTTGCTAAAAGCTGTGCAGGGTCTTCCAGTAAACGTCTGGCTGCTGTTGCAAGATGAAAGGGTTAACCTCCAACATTTCCCTTCCTCATCCACACACTTAATGGGAGTGCTGTCGCCTCTTGTTAATCTTGGGCTTCACTGACCCAATTCCCTCTTTCCCATAAAATACTTCACAGGCCACTACTTTTCAAATACAGCACATTCCATCTCAAGGCTTGCTTTATTCTTCACGTACGTTCTTCAAATGGCTGAACAATGCAGTAATCTTTTTGCTCAGAAAGTAGCAAGAGCCAAAAACTAATCTATCTGCTCAGGAC